GTCTTCTCTGTATCGTTCCACGCACAAGCCATTAAAAAAATAACATATTTCTAACTAGAAACGGTCCGTTTCTGGACCATCCCTCATTGTGGTGCCCGAAATGACAAAATGGGCCTGGAATTTTGCTTGTGTGCCGTAAACCAAGGAAAGGCCATTTCCAACCAGAAACGGACCCTCATTTTCGGGCCCGAAATGGCAAACTAAAACACACCTTAAAACACACCTTTACACACCTTTAAACCACTTACCCCTTGACACACCCCTTAAGACACCCCGCAAAACACCCCGTGAAACACCCCTAAAACACACCTCACAACACCTCCAAAAACACTCCTTAAAACACCCCTTAAACACCGCTTAAAACACCGCTTAAAACACCCCCTAAAACACCACTGAAAACACCCCTTACCACACCCCCTAAAACCACACCTTAATAAAACACCCCTTAAAACACCCGTTAAAACACACCTTAAAACGCCCCTTAAAACACCTCCTAAAACCCTTAAAACACCCCTTAAAGCACTCCTTGAAACACACCCTAAAACACCTGAAAACACCCCTCAAAACACCTTAAAACACCCCTTAAAACACCACTTAAAACACCGCTTAAAACACCCCGTAAAACACCTTACAACACACGTTCAAACACGACTTACCCCTTAAAACACGGCTTACCCCCTAAAACACCTTAAAGGAGCAGACCCCCCTAAAGGCTAAAGTAGAATTAAGCCCCTTGCGGAGCCTTATCCCCATCAGGGCAGACCCCCCTAAAGGCCATTAGAATTAAGTCCCAGCAAAAGAGCAGACCCCCTTAACGGCCAGTACAATTAACCCCCTTTCGGATCCCTATATAGCCTCAAAGACTTTTTGCCAGAGGCCTTATATGGACCTCTCTAAAGGTCTCATCTGCGCCCATAAGCCCCGTGCGCCCTCCTCAAATCCCCCTCACCCCCTTCCCTCCAAATCAAAACAAAGCATTTAGCACATACTCACCCCGTCTCACTTGTGGGAACCAGCAGAAGTCAGTCGTCGTGCCAGACCCTCCGGATCAAGTGTGCGATCCAGACCCTCCGGATCAGACAGCACAGGAACGTGCACGCAGGGCACGTGGTGTTGATCAGTGGCCATTATGGGTATCTAGTACATAATGGGGTTTCCTTAGTAGAGTCATAAGCCTAAGACCCTATGTATCCTATATACCCTTATTCTTGTATCATAATTTAAGTTCCTTAACAGCTGCCCAGGTGCAGGGACTTCTGGGCCTGGAGGGGGTGATGGCACAGGCCGATGCCTTCTACTGCTCGGCCTACTTCGTAACAGCGGCCTACATTGCTCTTGCGGAGCTTGCTGTTCGTAGCAAGGACTCCGAGACCCCAGGAAAACTTACTGGTTCTTCGTGGGGATTATGGTAATAGAGTCCCGTTATAACGCCTGTAGAATTTATCCCCTTGTTCCCTCTAAGAACCAGTAGGAAACAGCCTGAGCCTCTGACTTGGCGCTGCGACCCGGCGTGACAGTTCAGCATTGGAAAGCAAGCCGCGCCTAGTGCAGCAAAAAGTCATACGTGGTATGTGCTTTCTGAGGAAGCTTCAGGATTCCATGCAGGCGGTATATTGGGGTAATTTTGGATGACATGGACGATGCCGTGCAGTGAAGAATTGCTGCATGATGAAGACAGCTGTAGGCAGGATCAAGACTTTTGAGAATATAGGGATAATGGAAAAGAACATGGAAACTATTATAGTATACTGGGGTATTTACTAGGAAGTATAATATGGATCCTGCTATTAAGGCCAGGCCTGCAGTTCGGCAGTAGCAAGGTCAACCTCTTGGGTATGTATCCGCCTTCCTGCAGTCACTAGCGCGCTTGAGATGAATGGTTTTTAGAGTCCGAAGACCAACAACGCGGTTTCAGCTTCCCAGAACACCTCCAGCAACGCAACAACAATTACTAACCAGCCTCTTGTGTGGTATTAGGGTGAAAATTAAGTCATAGCTACTATAGAGGTATGACAGCATATAGGGGCAGTTATTGGGATATAACTACTGTAGAATATCGGGGATCATCACGTGGCTCGGCTAAGGTCGAGGTCCTCCGCCCAAAGTGGAGCTTCGAGCAGGGCGACCCAGAGTGTCTTTTCCCATACTCCCCATAATATGACCCTAGTAATCCTGGGATATAGAACTACTACAATATATTGGGGTGATATACCTAAACCCTAAACCCGAAACCCTATATAGTGTAACCCCTATATCCATACATAATATATATATGGGGGGGGGTAATATAGTGTAATCTCTAAATCCATACATAATCCCCACTTGCTGCTTCAAACTCGTCTGTGTGATGGAGGAAGGTCCCCTCTTTGCTGCCAAGCCCGTTGGAGAGGGACACAGGCTCGGATCGAAGGATGAGTTAGATATGAGCTATAGTCTAAACTCCTTAAAGGGGGTGAAAGAGGATGACGAGAGGGATTATCCAGGGGGATACTAGGAGTTTAGACTCTAGCTCATATTGTGGCAGCGATGTGAGGCAAAATGGAAGAGGGAATTGAAACTACTATAGATGTTTTGGGGTTTATACTGGGATATGGATATAACTCCTAATTATAGCCCATTCGGGGCATATATTGGGATCCAACTACTACAGTGTCTTGGGGTATATGTACTGCGAGAGTAGAGTGAGGTTGGGATGTAGCTTACACTGCTAGAGAAGTAAAGCAAGGTGGTTGAAAGTGATAGGTAGAACCCTCTCGTGGTGCATGAGGGTTTAGGGTCTAGGATTTAGGGTTTTAGGGTCTAGGGCTTGTAGAAAAGCCCAGGCATCCTAAAATGCCATCGTCTCTTCTTGTATGATTTTGTCGTGTCTGAGAGGGCCTTCGAGCAACATCCGCCTGCCGGAGTCACATGCCAAGAGTCGGGTTTCATGCGGGGTCTCTAATCTAGTTATCCAAAGAATGCATTCAAACCCGACAGCCCTGGAGCAAATCAACCGGTATGCCCCGATACAATGTGGCAATGAAGCATGACATGACATCCTCCCAGCAGGACATAGGGTGCAAAGCCAGGAGCCCAACTTAGGAGCCGACCCCTACTGGATGCCAGCATTTTATTCCTCACTTGCTAGGCCTCACTTCAGAAACCCTTAACCCCAAACCCGAAACCCCGAACCCTAAAGCCCATAAACCCTAAACCTTAAGTGCATGGTTTGCTTTCGGTGCGCAGGCCTCATGGGACGTTCTTGTGCTGGGAAGCCTCCCTCCATGCCCGGGACTTAGAGTTTAGTGGATTAAGGTTTAGGGGTTTAGAGTGTAGGATTGAGGGCTTGGGGGTTTAGGGTTTAGTACAGTTTAGGGGTTTAGGGTTAAGGATTTAGGGTAAGGCTTTGGGGATCAGGGTTCAGGGTGTAGAGGTCATGCCCATCATCATCATCAGGATCCGAGGGACTAGATCCTGAGGGCCCTTGCAGGGAGCATCCATCTCAACAGACGCGTAGTTCTTGGTTTTGAGTCTGAGACTTTCAACCTGCAACCCTACATGTGGGGGACGCCCCCCTAGGCCCTGATGCCAGACCCTACGCCTGAAGCCCCGAATGTTCGCTCAGGCCTCGTTCAATCATGTCCGCGACATGCGGGGAGAGGCCTGACTTTCGATGTGGGAGAGGGGCAATCAGTTTCAGCCTGGACATTGTGCTGCTAGTTTTTGTATGTGCATGCACATAATCAAGTAGCAGCGCAACGACAAGGATTTTTCAAAATTAATTGCCCCGGTTCGAGCAGTCTGCCGAACCGGAGGAACTTTTTCTGGTCAATGCTGCAGGGCTGGACGAAAATTGCTATATGTACATATGTATGTTCCCTTATTCCCTACTAGTACTACTCGCCAGTACATAAAAGCAGAGAATGCAAAGATGTTGTTGCCAGGTCGGCTGCTGCCAAGTTTCCGGCTTGGGCTAGGGGAGCTGCAGCTCCTACAGGCAGGACGCTGACACAATCGCGTGAGTTTTGTTGCAGGGGTCCTACAATTGTAATCGTACTATATTAATAAGAAGAATTTACTACTAATAATAAATAGTGCTAGTAGGAATGCTAGAATAAAAATATGTGAAGCAGGCCTTTGCAATGTGACTTCGGCTTTCCGGCTTTCTCGCAAGCAGTTGCTGGCTCGGGTACTGGTCACCTCCCTCAGCTCTGGCCGCTTGAGCACTCGGTAGGTGAAGGTTTAGGTGGTAGTTTCCCAAAATTAGGGGTACCATTTTGGATGTCCTTATAATAAGGATTACAGTATATTGGGGTCTACATTGGGGTCCCCCTATTTAGGGAAACTACCAGGTAAGTTGCAGGTTGCAATCTACAACTCCATCCTAGCTTGTTTGGAACAGTACAGCTCACTTGGCGAAGCCAAAACTACACCCCCGATACAGCCAAGCCCAGACCTCTAATCCCTTCCTCCTAAGGAACGTCTCCCCCTCCCTGATTAAACACCACCCCAAAGTACTAGGGGGAGCTTATTGCAAAGAATTAGGTGGGGACTCATTAAACCAACAGTACATCAAGCAAAAACCAATTCAAATCTGATGAACATCGTAAGAATTTCAATTCTAATCCCTACGCTGTGTAGGATTTGCGGCCCCAATGCGGGCCTGTGCCAGCTATGATCTCTGTGATTATGCCATGTCGGAATGGGATGCCATTCCTGCCTTGGGCTGTCCACGACCTGGCTTGCAGCAGCACGAAGCTGGAGATCTTGATTCTAGGTACCCCAGTAGTACCTTTTTTCCCCTTTTTACTTTGGGGTCTCCTTATTAAAAGCAGAATAGTAGGTAAAAGGGTACCCTTATTATCAAGGGCTTACTGGGGAACCTAGGATTTGTGATGATGGCAGCACCGATGGCTCAGAAGTTTTCCTTCGAACCCTGAACTTGGAGCTTGCAGAGTGTTCAGAGAAGAGGCTGGGTTGCTGTTAAGGAACTCAAGTTAAGTGACACAATGGGTACATATATATATATATATATACACATAGTAATTAATATGTTTCCCCCTATATAGTACACAACAGCCCAGGAGAGCGCCTGAAGGTTCCTCCCCGTCCCCAGATGCACGGGCGGCCGCTCCAAGCCTGCCAGCTTCGGAGGGAGATGAGGATCGGGCCTTCGTTCGACAGGCGCACGAAAATTGCATGGACCTTTAATACGTATAGATTGGTTCCCTAGCAGGGTAACTTGATTGGGGTTTAGGGTTTAGGGTTTCTGGTTTAGCAACCCCGAAGTAGGGAGATTCTGATCAGCAGGTGCCTTGGCCTGGCGAGGATGCAGAAAGCCCAACGCCTGCTGCGCTAGCAGCCAAGATCCGCACCTCTGGGCACCGCCTGGTCGTGTTGAGACTTGCGGCAGTGCTAGGAGTTTTACATATGTAGGCTCATATAGGCTCTATAGGGCTCTATAGGAGCTCTGATGGAGATGATGGAAAAGAACATGGAAACTACCATTTAGGTTGTTGGTTTATGAGCTAGAGGCGGGAATCGCTGATGTAGGCTTGCACTCACGGCAATCCCAGGAACAGTGGTGGGCGCGGACAAGGAGCGGCACAAAACGCTTCTGGCCTGCATGCGGCTTCAGTCCAAGAACTCGCAAATAGGGCCAGAATGTTGGTTTCAAGGAGAGTAATGTTCGTAAACAGTAGCAAAAATTACAAGTACTCCCCGATTACATCATTGTACCATAGTTGTGTGGTGAGTCTGCTTTGTGGAGGCTTGCTTGGAGGCCGCCACAGCTCCACTGATTGGTCTCATGGATGCCGACGACCGTGGCGACCCCGAGCGCTTCGGGCGACTGCTGGAGGCCTTCCAACAACATCTTTTTTTATTTAGTTTGTTCAAGCTTTTCCATGTGATTCTCCATAATTGGGATACCATCTCAACAGATATCTACATGGTTCCTCTACATAGTGGCTTCCATCTCGTGCATCAGAAAGTCCAGGCCCTCCGGGAACATCCGGACTGGCAGGGGGCTTGCAGCGCGGTGCGCATCTTTGGGGCCGTCTCGGAGGCGATCAGTACTGCAGGATGAAGCCACCGCATAGCATAGCATGCATGTGAGTAGTCTTTTATGTGGGGGTCCTGTAGTTCCCAATATACCTAAAATCGTAAGGCCTTTTATGGGTTTCTAATACGGACTATAAGAGTCATTCTATCCCTTTTATAGGTAGAGTAATTAAGAATATAGACGCTATTCATGTGTTCTTGAAGGGAATGGAGCGGTACGTGCAGTGGCAGAACAGCCTCCTTCAGCCAGAGGACACTACAGGTTTAGGGTTTGGGGCTAAGGGTTAAGGGCTTAGTTAGGGTTTATGGTTTAGGCTTCATACACAGAGATATGTAGGGGTACACAGGGATATATAGGGTTCTATGGGCTTTGGGGTTTAGGGTCACTACAACCACGACAGCACTTTGGCCACATTTCTTTCCCCGGTGCCAGCGCGACTTGCTCACCAGGAGCTCTGGGAGAACCGCTTCGTCGAAATCCCCGGCCTTCACCAGTCGGGGGTGTACCCAAGGCTCGGAAAGCAAATGAGTTAGGGGGTTAAGGGTTTAGGGTTGAGGGTTTGAGGTTTCGGGTCAAAGGTCTTGGGATGGATGTGAAAGTCCCTAAACCCTTAAACCCCAATTAAACCCTAAACCCTTAAACCCTAACCCTAAACCTCTAAACCCTTACACCCTAAACCAGGTCGCTACTCTGGGACACCCTGAAGGGCTACCGTGATCTGCCAACCTGGCCTATTGACATCGACACTTGGATGCTGCTTGATACGGTTGGAGCATGTGGGGGTTTCCCAAAATTAAGGGTACTTTTTTGGGGGGGGCTCCCAAATAATAAGGACTCTCCTAGTTTGGGGTTTATATTGGGGTCCCCCATTTAGGGAAAGTACCATGTTGCAACGGATCTTCCAAAGGCCTTTCCGATGCTAACGGAAAGAAGCATGAAAACCTCTCTGTCGCCATCACAGCAGTCTCCATTCTCCTTTCCATCACTCACGGAAAAGAACAGAGAATCACATAGAATCTTTACAAGCTACCACATTACACAATAGTTTCCATATTCCTTTCCAACACAAATGGACTGTTGAGGCGCCTTGCAGAAGCCGGAGCTCGCATCGGGAAGGTGCAGCTGTGGCAGTACTGCCATGGTATGCAAGCCAGTATGTAAAAAACAGAGGGACCCCTCTTATGTTAGTATATACCACAGATTACTGTACAGTCCTAGTAATTAAGAGTCCCAAACAGGGCCCCTAAATCCTTGGAAGCCCTCCATGAAATTATAGCAGTTTCCGTTGTCTGCTGCATTGCTAAGATCTTCGGAGAGACCATGAACACCAGTACTATGTTACAGGTAGTAGCTGCCACTCATCCTTTTGGCTCCGTTGACACCAGCAACATATAGTCGTTTCCATTTTCTTGCCTGTATAACCCCATATGACTCGAAACCCTAAACACATACCCCTAAACCCTATAAGCCCTATAAGCCCTAAACCCTAAGCCCTAGACCCGAAACCCTAAACCCTGGACCCCAAACCCTAAGCCCTAAGCCCTAAGCCCATACGAGAGAAGCTTGGGAGGTTCCCGATGAGCTTTACGGATGGCGGCAGCATGTGCTCCAGAGCACGAGGTTGCCTTGTTGTCTCAAGATTATAGGTCCCCCTTAAGTGGATAGAATATGGGGTACACGGGGATCTTACTTTTTGTACCTGAAGCCATGTTCACCCGGGGGCTACAGTCCCATCCGTGGTGCCCAGTTCACTTGCAGGAATCATGGCCGATGTGGCATCGACCGGCTAAGAAACTGCAAGGTTCCGAACTTTCATCCTGCTTGTGAGGGAATCAAGGAATGGGATCCATATGCTCCTATAGCATCCCAAACTATGTGATCGCTTCCATATTCTGTGCCCTTCCTTCACGCCCTACTCACCGCAAGTCGTAGCCGCCAGTAACCTACTGGGGGTTAATAGAGAATAAGGGAATAGAATCCCTACATAGTCGATATAATCCCCAGAGACTTCATAGGTTTGCAAGATATACTCCTATTTTGATCCCTATATAATCTCTACATATATACAACGTTCCCTTATCTTCCCTGCTAGCCACCAGCTTTTGGTAAGTATCCTGGAAGCATGGGCGGCCGCACAGGCCTACTTCATGCTCCGCTCTCTGCCAGCGCAGGCGACCACGTGAAGAGCAGCAAGAATATTGTAATCGTAAAAATAGTAAAGCATAACAGCAATAGTGGTCATAGTAATAGAAGCATGTAATAACAGTATCTATAACAATAGTGTTAGTAATAGTAGTAACAATGGTATTAATATCAAAAGTCGTAAGAATAGTATTGAGTTCAAGCGTCGTATGTTGCAGCGGAGACAAGTGAATCATGCCAGGTTCGCAGAGTGGAAATTTGGAGTGCGCCCTTGCAGCAGCCAACTGCCGCGGAATTGCATGTTCGGCGCGGCCAGGTACGGGCCACACGCTTAGCAGCTCCTTGACTCTGACCTTAAAGACTAAAGCCTAAACCCTAGACCCTATAGCAGTTTCCATTTTCTTGTCCATTTTTCCTGTATAACCCCTCGATTCTTACCCTAAACCTTGCACCTTCGGGGCAGCGCAAAAAAAGTCGCCATAAAAAATCCTGACGTGGGCAGCCAAGGCTGGAGTGAAACGCTGCAGTCCCAGATCCATACCCTTGCAGATTCCGAGGAGAAGGAGATGCTCACAAGAGAATACCACTAGTCATGAATATAATATTCGTATTAATAAGCAAAATAGATATAGCCATAACAACAGCATGAATGACAATGGTAGCACATGAGGATATTCAAAATACTGGTTGTACTAACTTTGGCATATTACCCCAATATAGCCCCAATATTACCTAGTAGTTTTCATTTTCTTTTCCATTATCAAATATAACCCATACATATATATATATATAGACCCTATCATAACATAGTAGTTTCCATTCTCTTTTTCCATTATCCCTATATAACCCCAATATATCCCCTATAAATTATATATAAACCCTCTATAATCCCTATAGTTTCCATTTTCTTTTCCATTATCCCAATGGGGCCTGACCTGGCCCGGTGCTGTAGGAGCTGGCAATCAGCGAGGTTTCCTTGGTCTCCTGGCGGCCGAAGGGAAGCCGTAGAGGGGGCGCCAAGAGACTGGGCTGCGGCTAAGGAGCAAGTTACAGCAATAAGGGTAAAATACAGAGTTTAGGGTCTAGGGTTTGAGGTTCAGGGTTTAGGGTTCAGGGTTTAGGGTTACTATAAGGAAACTCGATTATTTGCTATATACCCATATTATGGTGACCCTTATTCCTAAATCCTGCAAATCCCATACCCTAACTCCTAAACCCTATATACCCATATTCTGGCAACTTAAGCCCTAAACTTTAAACCTTACAGACCCATATTACGGTACCTTCGTTTTTATTAAAGTCTCTTAGCTTAAGTTCCTCAAAGCAGCAGCCCAGGAGAGCCGAAGGTGGCGGTGGGGCCGCAGCGAGAGCTACGGTAAAGACGGAGGCGGAGTTGGAGCAGGAGGCCGAAAAGGCACCCAACCAGGCCCCTTTGAGGGAAGCTTTCCTTACTGGGGGTTAGTAGGGAATTAGGGAATATCTATCTATCTATCTATCTATATTCAGATGTATATATATATATGATATATATATACAAAAAAAGGTGTGTGTGTGTATATATGTATTAATCGTATATATATATATATCTGGGGATTAGGGTTAAGGGTTTGTAGGGAGTAAGGGAATTTATCATATCTAGGGATGACATTCCCTCATTCGCTACCAACCACCAGTAAGTTTCTGGAATTCTGGAAGCTGAAGATCTCACCTGCTACTTCTCAGGGCGCGAAGCGCCAGCGTCAGGACGCCCGCTCATGCATGACTTTACTTAACTGGTGGCTAAAAGGGAAGAAGGGAATATACAATCCTTATGTAATCTTATAGAGCCCCATATCATATTCCTTTATTCCCTACTCACTCCCAGAAATTTTAATAGTCTCTCTGAACAGTTGCAGGAGATCAACCTGTTGCCAAGCGATTGCACTTCAGCACCGCCGCCCCTGCCAGAGCCAAAGATACACCAGAGCAGCATTGTTCACCACCAGGGCTGCTTTACGAGGGGGTTCAGGATTTAGGGCTTTGGGTTCAGGGCTTGGGATTCAGGGCTTAGGGTTTGGCTTAGGGTTGAGGGTTTAGGGTTCATGACTTTGCGTTTAGGTTGTATGGCCAGCACCGCAGTCATGTCTCAGGTCCGATGACTCAGTGGCCCGAGCCCATGGCTCAGCTTTCTGCCTGGCAAGGCGGTCCCATTCCACTACGACACCCTGGAAAGTCTGGCCTGCTGTATATGGTAGTTTCCCAAAACAAGGGGACCCCAATATAGACCCTAACATACTATAATCCTTATTATAGGAACCCTCAAAAAGTACCCCTAATTTTGGGAATCTACCCTGTATACCCCTATATACCCCCATATAACCCTATTTCGCCCAACATGACCTTATGTTCCCCAATATTATAGCTACTTTGTGGGTCATATCCCCGTGCCAGGTCTTTGTCTTCGGGAGTGAGAAGCTGCGCGAAAAGGCCAGCCTGTCATTGCCATCACACTTTGAGCGCGGAAGGAAGTGATTGCAAGGATTTCGCATCATAAGGCCCCATTCCTACTTAGGGCTTTATAGGGCCTGTCACGGAAAAGTGTTCAGGGACGAATTCTTACGTGGGGCTTTGGGGCTTGGAAGTTCCGTTCCTCAAGCCCTCAGCCCTAAAACCCAAAACCCTAATACCCTAGCGTCATAACCCCAGGCTCTAAAACTCTAAGCCGTAAGACCATAGGATCCTAAACTCTCAACCCTAAATCCCTAAAACCCTAAGCCCTAAAACCCTAACACCCTAACACCCTATATCCAAAAGCATTGAAGGCCCGGCAAAGCATCGAGGCCGACCAAGGCCGGTTCCACTGGGCTGTTGGGGTACTTGGGAACAGGGAATAAGAGTTTAGGATTTAGGGTGTAGGTTTTAGGATTTAGGGTTGAGGGGTGTAGGATTTAGGGTTCAAGGTGTTAGAGGTTTTGGGTTTGGGATTCAGGGTTTAAGGTTTAGGGCTAGAGGATGTTTATATGGCTAAGGGTTCTTTAAAGTTGGTCGAATAATGCAGACTCAAATCCAAAAGAGAATAAAAGATGGCATGTTAAAGCCCTTTGTAGTTTGACCCTTGGTAGCTCTAAAGTCCAGTTCCAACGATGTTGCTGCACTTCTGTGACACTTTGGATCTCCAATCATGCCTGTCCGTACACTATAGGGATTGTACTGCAGTCCTTTCATCGAATGCTCTTGACCATCAAAGGCTTTGGCCGCCACAACAGTCAGTGCGCCTGGTAGGTGTTGATGTTGCCATTATTACTACTATCATTATTTATTGGTATCACTATTTCTATTGTTACTACTATTCTTGGCCTTCTGCCCTGCTTTGGGAGGTCACGCACCTCGTTGGGGCCGGCTGGATTGGCCTTCAGCGTGAAACTTCGTGTTACCCGCCTCATCGTTTCACCACCGTGGCGCAGGAAAACTGTGAGAGACAATTTTGAACCCTAAACCCTAAACCCCTAAACTAAAGCCTACAGCTGCCAACTAGGCTTGGGCCTGGCAGGTGCAGTAGTGGCTCCACCGCCGCAAGGGCGTCGGCAGCCCAGCGCAAGTGAAACGAGAGCTGTGTACATGGAGTTATGGCCTAGACTCCTGAAAGGGGATTATATAGGGGATTATGAAGTTTTAAAGGGGTTTAAGGTTCAAAGGTTCAGGGTCTCACCCCCTACACAGGGTTCCATAAGGGATCATACAGGGGACTTCTATAAGGGTTATTATGGGGGATACTAGGAGTTTAGACTATGGCTCACATGAACCTGAGCTGCTCCAGCTGTTCATACTCATTCAATTTCTTGTTTTAGTCCGCCCATGTGGCCTTGGCAGAACCTTGGCAAAATTTGTCAGCCCCAAAGCCCCAAACCCTTAAACCCTTAAGCCCTAAACCCTTAAACACCTCAGGCTTTGCAGATGCTTGCAGAGCAGCTGGTGACCATGTGAGGACCGTGGGAATCGACGTCATGTCGCGGAGCCGATGTTCAAACCCTCAAGAGTAGTTTCCACGTTCGTTTCCATTATCCCTATATAACCCCATTTTACTATAGTAGTTTCCATGTTCTTTCCACTCTCCCTATATGACCCCATTATACTATAGTATACTATAGTAGTTTCTATTTTCTTTTCCACCCCCATTCTAATGTAGTAGTTTCCATTTTCTTTTCCACTCTCGCTATATAACCCCATTCTAATGTAGTAGTTTCCATTTTCGTTTCCATTATCCCAATATAACCCCATTATACTACAGTAGTTTCCATATTTTTTCCGTTATCCCTTTTTAACCTTATATCGATGCACTCAGCTGCCTGCATGCAGGGGTGCTGACGGGCGTTTCCTGGGCTTTTGAGCTGGAGTCGGTGTCACCTTAGCATACTCGTACCTCCCAAAGGGAGTATGACTCGTCGCATGTAAAAAGGCTCCTGGAAGGCCTTCCCAAATGATTCGATTATTATTGTGATTCTGTTTTCTTAAATATTTCTATTAGTAGTATTTTCATGGTTACTACTGTTATTTTCACATTTTATATCACTATCAAAACTACCTGTATTGTTGCAGCTATTTTCCTTATAATTCCTATTGCTGTTATTCGCAGACTGTACCTTGGAGCCACAGCGGTAGCGTTGAGAGTGTGAAGAATCCGCCGTCACCCACGCGCAGCTTTCTGCAAGCCCTGCGCTGCACCTCAACAAAAAATCCTAGATCTTGTTCAACAACATGGGACGTGTCTACAGGCTTTCCTCCCCTATTTAATAAGTTACCATAATGGGTATATATAGTAAAATAATAGGGTTTCCCCAATATAGTATTACCGAATCCTTGGATTTCGATTTCCGTGGAACTGCTTCCGGCTTTGGTAGATTTCAGTTGCCATCATGGCCTGGTCTCGAGCACTTGGCTCAGGAGTGCACTTTGAAGTACCAGCTTTTGGAGGATGAGGGTTCTGCCCTTTAGGGATTGGTACGATTCAGGAAGAATTGACTGTAGGAATGTGGTGATTAGGGCTCAGGTTTGTGTTTGATCTGTTGATGATTTCCGGTGTGTAGCGTAGACCTCTATTGTCGTGGGGCTGCCCCAGCAAGATACTCGCGTTCACCTGGCTGCGGCGGTGCTATGTCATTGGTATTATTGCAGAACAACGACGTTCGTTGCTAGCAATAACATTAGCAATATTGTCAACATTTTCATATTTTTAAACCCAAAACCCTAGACCCTATCTATCATGAAGTGAATCCGTTATTGCCCTGGCACGGCTTTTGACCTGCCATACTCAGCCGCAGCCGAGGCTCGGCCAGCCCGATGTGCTGCCGCGCTGCTGGCCGTGACCCTCTACAGGGCAGCCGCCTAAGTGAAGGGCTGCACCCCAAAGACACTTCAACCAGCAAACACATATACAAATCATACTAGTGGTCTAGGAGATGGCTTCCACCCACCCCTTGATGACCTTCTAGTTGTTTGGCTTTCAAGGCCATCTCCGGCCGGCAGATGGCTTTCCTTCCACCTCCCAGAGAGCGGGTGATCTCAAATAGGGCTGGAGACTCAGCCACCGACCTCCCTTTGAAGCGTTTCCATGTGAATACAGCTGGATTGGGTTTCTTATATACGGGGCTATATGGGGATAATGGAAAGAAATGGACACTAGCATATTATAAGAGGGCATATATTGGGGGTAGATGGGGATTACACAGGGGAACTCCCTCAGATAATGGAGCACAAAATATGGAACATAACATGGAAAATGGTAGAGCAGCTGGGATGATAGGGTAGTTTATAGGGATATAGGGTGGGTAGTTAAGAACCGGGCCATAATGTTTTCCCGCCACCCTGACATGAGTGATGGCCTTTTCCACAGGATGCGCAGATGGCGGGAGTTTCCCTTGGCCTTGTGGCTGCAAATCCATCGCCCGCCCACGCCTTTGAGGCAAGGCAGACTCGTCCAGAAAACGTGAGCTACGGACCAAAGTTAGGTTGCTGGGAGCTACAGGGGGATAACAAGGGGATGGGGTGGGGGACTTATGAAGGAATATGCTAGAACTTTAGTCCAGGGCTCATGTGAACTATAGTCTAAATAAACTCCCAGTGTACTCCCCTAGATAATCCCCCATATAGCACCCCTTTCAGGAGCTGGGGCTATAGCTGTGAAGAAGACCCATGCCTCATTCAGACTTGCCCTGTGCATCCCTGTGCCAGATGCCGAACCTCGGCCAATTCTTCAGCACAGTCTGGAAGGTTGTGTCGACGGGGAGCGACGAGGCACCAAATATGGTAGTCTCCCAAAATTGGGGGACCCAATGTAGACCCCCAAATACGATATAACACGATAATTCTTATTCTGTGCACCCCAAAACAGCACCCCCCCAATTTAGGAAGCCCCCATATCCATGGGGCACTGAAGAAGAGCACCCTGATTGGAGAAAGCTCCATGTGCAAGGTCTACGATCCCACGACCGAGGAGGGAGCCAAGGCACCAGATGAAAAGAAAAATTAGAGAGCCTAGATAGTAGTTTTCATGTTCTTTTCCATTATCCTTGAAAAAATCCACAAACCCTATAGAATCCCATTTAATCCGTATAATCCCTCCATAATCCTTATAATCCCTATATAGACCCTATATAATCCCTATTTAGAGTTTCGGGCTCCGGGTCTGCACCTGCAAGCCTGCAAGGCGTCTCCTGTAGACCGAACCACAGTCGTAAGGGTTTAGGGGTTTAGGGCTTAGGGACATATATAGTCCCTATTAAGTAGATAGCATGTGGGGTACATGCGGATCTTACTGTGCTATTGTGCAATTCTATATTCTATCTACTCGTTTAGAATTTCTTTGAGGCCAGGCTTCTTAGGAACGCGGGGGATTTTTGTTGTCGTCCAAGGCGCCAAGTTGCAAGTTTCTCTTACCCAGAAATGGAAGGAGCTGAAACCAGAATGGACTGGGTTTTTACATGGTAGTTTCCAGAAAAAGGGCGACTCCGAGACTCTTGTTATTGGCCTCCCACCCAAGGGAACCCCAAATTTCTCGAAGTATAGAAGCCTCACTATGGGGACCCACAACATGGTACCCCCAATGTATGGAAGCCTAAATGGTAGTTTCCGAACATAGGGGGACCCAATGTAGACCCAAAAATACAATAATCCTTATGATGGGAGTCCCCCCCAATAAGGATCTACTCCCTGAACCCTGAATCCTAAATCCTAAACCCTGAAAACCCTAAATCCTAAATCCTGAACCTTTAAATCTTGAGCTTGGCAAAGGCTCTTGGCTTGGCGGTGCCTCTGCCAAAGGATGGCTTTGGGGAGGTCACAACTGACGCCTGGGCCACGGCTTGGAGTTGGATGCAAGTCGTAAACTCCATAATGGCAGGTTATGTAGGGTTAGGGTTTAGGGTTTAGGGCCCTAAACTCCTTAAAGGGGGTTATACACGGGGTTAAAATAGGGGAGTATTACTGGGGTTGCTAAGCAGGATAACTGGAGTTTAGACTGAAACTCATACAAGAATAGCAGTAAGGGCAATATTTGTATTACTGGTTATAGTGGTCATACCAGAAAATAACGGAAAGTATACTAGAAATCACTTGTTGCCTTTGTTGTAAACACCCGTGATGTGGAGGATGTGCTGCCCTTTGCGCTGTTCTTGCTGGCGGCCCCTTCCTCAGTCGCACCCAGAGAGCTGTCCCGGGCACACTGAAACAGGGGGACCCCAATATAGAAACCAAATATTTCAATCCTCAGTGTTATAATGAGGAGCATAGTGTGGGAACACCCAACAATTTGGGTCTAAACCTTCAACCCCAAACTCTAAACCCTGAACCCTAAACCCTAAATCCTAAACCCTGAGCCTCAAACCCTAAACCCTAAACCCCAAATCCTATGCCAGTTGGTGGCCTGGGGCCTACTCGTGGTCCCCAGCAACATGGACCGCAGCGATGGGGCCAAGCCGATCTCCAAGCTCAATCTACCAGACGCATAGGGTTTAGGGTTTAGAGTTAGGGTTCAGGGTATCGGGTGTGTTTAGGGTTTAGGGTTCAGGGTTGAGGGTTTAGGGTGTGTTTAGGGTTCAGGGTTTAGGGTATAGGGTGTGTTTAGGGTTCAGGGTTTAGGGTTGTACATAAATACATAAAAGCCCACCACCCCCTTATAATAACGACTCCCAAATAGTATCATCATACCTTAGCGGGATTAGATTTAGTGGGTATTATAAGGAGCTCATGATGTTTTCAACAGCTGTTGAAGCTCTGAACCTTGCGAGGTCGGTGCTGTTTCCATCCCAAGTTCCAAAGCTGCAGGCACAGTGCTACAAGTCGCGCTTCAGGGTTTACGGTTCAGGGGAAGTCGGCATTGATGCTACTCAAGCTTTCCCAACTATAATCCCCAATGGGGTCCCCACAACCATCCCTGAGGGTTTTCACACAAGGGGTGTCCCCTGAACCCAAAACCCAAAACCCTAAACCTAAAACCCTGAACCCACAACCCTAAACTAAACCTTAAACCCCCCTCCTCTTTTCTGAGCGCCAAGCAAATTGATGCCGCGCCGTTGCAGCTTATGGCTCTGAGCTCCACCGACCAAATGGCTTTGCTGGCTTGCTGACGTGGGAGGTTGTCAAAACTTGTCCCAATAAGATCCTCCATAAGGATCCCCATGCAAAATGTACTGTTTGAATTTTATATTGGTGATGGACAGAAATCTGCATGACTCCATTTACCTAAGCCCTGAGAACTATGGTAGTATACTATACTTGCCATCAACCATCAGGTCCCAACAAGGTGCGCCTCCCTTGCAGTGCGCAAGTCCCAGGTGATGGTCGCTCCACATGATCCTGTATGACAACAAGAGCATCCTCTCCTTATCATGCAAGTGTCATGGCAGCGTGTTTCCCAAGGCACCCAGATACATCTCCCTGCATGCGCTAGCAGAATGCGTTCTTTGCAGCTGGTGGCCCCCACCGCGAAAAAAATGATGGAAATTCATCAACATATGAATTAAAGGTAACAAGAGTTATAACAATAGCAAGAATGATCTACCTCAAACAGGAAGGTTGTACAGCAATGGGTGGGAACATCCATAAGTTGCAGCTGGTGGCAGGCAACCTTGATTGCTTTTCCTTTCGTGATAATGGTGGTCACGTTGAAAGCCCTCGTGCAAGCCGACCAGTTGAGCCGAAGCCTCGGTTCTCTTCGGCGCCGAGAGGGAGTGTCTCAAAACCATGGGCCCCTTTCCTTTGGGGGGGAGGGGTCCCATGATAAGGGCTGTAGTGTTGTGGGGAGTTCGCCCTAGGGCGCTTCAGGGTGTGTATGGGCGGACCTTAACTTCAGAGATACCCAAGAAGAGCAAGCATGGCTCCCTGCTGACGAGGTCTTCAGGACTTGGACTTGATCACTGATGGCTCTGTCTACGGTGCCTTCAGATCGGCGCTCAGTTCATGCGAAGATTTGGGTTTAGGGTTTAGGGTTCAAGGATTCTAGGTGCCTTCCTTATAGATTTAGGGTTTAGGGTTTAGGATGGTTTGATCTTGAATATATAGGGCCTCGAAGACTAACCAAAGACATACGCCCGCAGTTCCGGTTTGATTTTCCACATTCTTTTCCACCATTATTGGGGCTGCATCCCCCCCCCAGAACTATGTAAGCCTTATACAATTCCTTTCAAACCCTTACACAAGCAGAGCTCCTTTTCTCCGAAGCCTTAAACAGTGAATCCTAAACCCTAAATCCCAAACTCTAAATCCTAAACCCTAAATCCTAAACTCTAAATCCTAAACCCTAACTCCTCAACCCTAAACCCAAATCCTAAACCCTGAATCCTGAACCCTTGGCGCAAGGCCTGGTTCTGAGCTTTACCTTGGTTTTTCGGTGCCAGCAAGCCTACCAGCGATATACTGCCTCGGCCAAAGCGATGCACACTATGAGCTCGGAGACTGGGCGATTCGTGTGATCTATGAGGGTTATAGTGGATTGGGGTTATATTGGGGTTATATTGGGGTTATATTGGGGTTATACTGGGGTTATATTGGGATTATATTGGGGTTATATTGGGATTATATTGGGGTTATATTGGGATTATATTGGGATTAGATTGGGGTTATATTGGGATTATATTGGGATTATATTGGGATTATATTGGGGTTATATTGGGATTATATTGGGGTTATATTAGGGTTATATTAGGGGGTTATAGTGGGGTTCTGGGATACAATGGAAAAGAAAATGGAAACTACTACTTAGGGTTTCGAATTTAGGGTACAGGGCTTAGGGCTTGTAGGGATGATGGAAAAGAACATCGAAAACAACTACATCATGATCGAGTTTCCGAAAATCAGGGGTACCATTTTCGGGGTTCCACAATGAGGATTATGGTGCTATTCTATTTTTGGGGGGTCTATGTCAGGGTCCCTACCCTGTGTCGGCCTAACCCTATCACGAGAGCTCACAGGAATGGATAGATGCCTGCGGCAGCTTGCTGTCTTTCGTCAAAGTTTCCAAGAAATCTACTGGCGCCACACTCAGAGCTTTGAACTTGCCTGTGGTGAGCTAGGAATGAAGGAATGGATCCTCATAGTAGTCCATATAAAACCCATTACAGTACTTTCCATTTTCTTTTCCGGTTCTTCATTCCCAGCTAGACGAAGGTAAGTAAATCTATTCGCATGGTTGCCTGCTTTGGTCTTGGACCAGGTGAGAGGCAGCAGTTTGAGGGCGTACTCGTCCGATTGCTGCTCGGCGCAGCCACAGACCCTTCCTGGGGGTTAGTAGAGAATAAGGGAACATAGTATATAGGGATTGTACAATGATTCTACGCTTAATTCCCTGCCAGCCCCCATTAAGCACTTGAAGTGAAGAAGTTGTTCAATCTCTTGCCCCTGAGGTTTTGCCTCATGCATGCATGCGCCATGGAGGATCTCTGCAACAAGGCCTCGGGCTGCTGGATTTCCTCTTGACATGCCCTTGACTTGCTGGGGGTTAGTAGGGAATACGGGAATATAATCCCGATACAATCCCTGTGTACTATTTTCCCTTATTTCCTAGAAAGCCGCAGCAATTTGAGCGGGCCATGGAAATTTAAAGCAGAACATGATAAGTCAGAGCCCGGCGTCCCAGACTGCTGAGAAGCTTTGGGAGCTATATCCTAAAGCCTGAGTCTAAAGCACTATCTGCATCAGGATTGAGAGTTGCGATTGAGGGTTGTTAAAGCTTGTATATCCCCAATATAATCGCTATGTAATCCTTATTACCCCTAGTAGTTTCCATGTTATTTTCCATTATCCCTGTATAACCTGAATGTGCGGCCTTGCTCCTTTTTTCGATACCAGAAGCTATGAGAATGTTTACCCTGGTTCTTAGGATTGATTATATTGGGGTCCTATTGGGATAATGCGAAAGAAAATGGAAACTACTATAATGGGGTTATATAGGGTGTAGGGTTTCGAGTTACGGAGCTCCCTGAGGGTTTGGTGCCATCCTGGGTCAGTGTCCTGGGGTCTTGTTTCAAAGCAAGCAGCTGCTGAGTGAGCTGTGCTCGTAGCAAGCTGTGCCCTCACAGCCGGTACGGTGAAATGCTGAAGATTCTCTCCCTGCCTTAGATCCTGAACTCTAAACCTTAAACCCTTAACTCCAAAACCTGGACCCTAAACCCTCCCTAACCCAAACCCCAAACCCCAACCCCTGAACCCACGACCCAAAACGCTAAACCCCACCCGTGTTCGCAGGGAGATCACTTCAAGCTCCTGGACATCGAGGCAGGGACCTTCCTGAAGTCGATTTTGAGCTAGGGTTTAGGATTCAGGGTTTAGGGTTAGGGCTTAGGATTCAGGGTTTAGGGCTTAGGGGTAGGGTTTAGGATTCAGGATTTAGGGTCTAGGGTTTGGGATTTAGGGTTTAGGATTTAGGGTGTACGGAGCGCCTGGAATGTGCCAGGCATTCGTGACGGAGGACCTCGCTCTCTTGAAGCAGCCTGCAAATGCGAACACGCTCGAGAATCCCAAATCCATGCAGATACAATATGTGGGGACCCTGGACCTAGGGTTTAGGGGGTTAGTTAGGGTGCTGATCCTGCATGCTGTCTGCAACTTTGGCACAACATCATATAGGGTTTATAGGGATATATATATGTATAAGATAATAGTATATTGTAATGGGATATATATATATATATGTATATTGCTGTGTCAAAGTATCAGGACAGGAATGAGTTGTGCCTCCACTTGCTACTGTCTATTTTTCTGCTAGCCATTGCCTCTTGTCTGAGGTTTTCATTTGGATCAAGTATTTGATTGTGCAAGGGATCGACAGTGGACGCCTCAGCTTCGAGAGTGCTGACGAAGAAGCCAGCAGACATTGGGGAATCCTGCCACCTTCTGGGTTGCTGTTAAGGAACCTTTTTTAAAGATTGCTATAACAAGAAAACACCCATTATTTACTATGTACCCATACTATGGCATCTTAATTCACGTTCTCGAAAATCCATGCAGGCTTATTTGGCATTCACTGGGCCCTCAAGTCGTCTAAGAGGACAGCAACGAAGGGAACCCCGAATCTTGACAAATCCATGGTTTGAAAGCCACTGGAAGATGACGCGGGCAAAGCAGCAGAGATTCAGAAATACTGCGCTCATAAGATATGAACAGCCACTGCGGCACCGTGCTACAGGGAAGAACTCGTATGAATGAAGATCCCACCCACCACACCAATAGATCCATTTCTACACACTGACCAACCAGCCAGCATGCATACATGCACAACATAAAATGACACCACATTTCATTGCATTCCATCCATGCATACATACATACATCCATGCATCCATCTATTCATCTATCCATCCATTCATCCGTACATATATACATCCATACATACGTGCATGCGGCCATGCGTACAAACCTACTACGTACTGATGTACATGCATGCTTGCATTGCCTTTGAGGTGGCTTGCTTAGCATCCCACCGCCCATCCTGACGCGCGTCTACCAGGAGATTGGCGCGGGCATGGCTGAGTTTCATGAAGCGCAGATGATCTCGATGCTGGGTTGCTGTTAAGGAATTCAAAATAAGTTACCATAATATGGGTACACAGGGTAATTATAAGGTTCAGGGCTCGAGTTACCATAATATGGGTATATAGTAAATGATATAGGGTTTCCGTATTCTGTGACTTAATTTAAGTTCCGTAACAGCAACCCAGGATGTGGCCCTTCCCGTTCCCGTATGCACAGCTTAGCCTTTTCCTTTCGGCGCCTCGTGCATATTCAGCACCCAAGACGTTTCATCTCTGTTGCTGCTCGCATGCCGCGATTTCCACAGTCGACTTGCGGGTTGGCGTTAAGTAGAGCACTCCAATCGCGCATTCAATTCTATGTTGAGAGTCGCAAACCAAAAGGTTTGCGTAGACAGAAGTGTAGAACGGCATAATGAAAGGGACCGTAGTGCTGGGTCAACTGAAGGTGCTCCACTTGTTTTTGGCGCCGATCATCATGGTGAAGTACACAAGTGGTGTGTGGGCCTCAGCACAGGGCTTGTAGCAAAAGCAAGACCCCCCACACAGATGAAGCGGTGGAGATAGCCAGGGCCATCAAGATGTCAGCCAACATATGTCAGCGTTCCAAACATAGAGGTCTCGGTTGGCACCAGAAGGTTCTTGACACAGAAGTTTTGCCTGAACCAGGTCGATGGCAAGCCAACAGACTTCACATGTAGAGCTGTTGAGGTTCGGAATGCTGACCATTTCTATTTCTTAAACGAGGGAAGCGCAGTTTTCAGAAAGACTGCTCCCTAAACCTTAAACCCTGTGACAAACTGATTGTCAAGGTATGGGCAGCAGCGCTGCTGACCTACATCTCCATCGTATGCGTTATGTCCCTGAAATCTGGCATGCTCGGCAATTTTTAGTTTAGGGTTTAGGGTTGCCTTCATGGAAAATTCCCCGAATGCAACTGGATTGTCTTGTGCTTGCATGGTGCTTTCAGGGCTCATCTGCGTAATGCTGGCCGAACGTTTTTTTTTCTCCGGTGTAAGCAAGCCACGTACTCAGCAAAGATTCAGCACCACACATTGAGACAACTCGCTTTAGCATGTGTTGGATGTTTCTCATGAGAAAAAGCGTAGCCTACCCTACCAACTAAATCTTACACCCAGTGTAGCCAAGACCCCACCTCGCATTTAGGGTTTAGGGTTTAGGGTTTTCTGGATGTAGGTCCTCCGTAGTACTTAGCTCCACTCAGGAGTTCTATCAGAGTGTTGTTGAAACGACAGTGAACATGCATTTCTGTCCCCTTCTCATTGCCGCTGCTGTTGTAGCTGCCACTACTGCTGCCACCGCCGCTTCAACTATGGTAATCTCACTCCCTGCACCTTTGGTGCTTTGTCCTGGTAAGGCAGCACTTCAATTTTTTCTTTTATCTGCTCTCATTGAGGAACATCATTGGGGTGGAGCTGGAGAATCCTTTTGGGGAGGACACCAACGACTTGCCCTCCTTGGAGACGCACGAAGAGTTCCGCGCCAGCATCATGGCCCTGGCGGACCCGCACGCCTGGATGGTTCCCCGCATTAAGGGCTCCGCTTCCATGGATTTCGAGAATCTAGGTTGCTGTTAAGGAACTTAATTTAAGTTACTACATTGGTGAAACCGTGCAAATTACTATACATACCCATCATGGTAACTTAATTTAAGTTCCTTGACAGCAACCCAGGAATCTGCGAGACCATTCTGGCCGAAGGGTGAGCTTGAAGCAACACCTCAGTCAGGCCCATCTGGAGGAGCACTGGCCCAGAAGCGATCCCAAGGACAAACATAGTTTCCAAGCTAAGGGTTTAGTGGTTCCACTCCCCCTTCAAACCATATCTAATTCCAGACCTTAGGGACTGCCCAATATACCCTATAAAACCCATTATGGTAGTTTCCATTTTATTTTCCATTATCCCAATATAACTCCAATCTAACCTGGAGACCCTGAATTGCTGGAGCCCCTGAGGACGTGAAGGCCACCGACGCTGCAAATGGTGAGCCTCAAAGTCACCAGCAAAGTCCCAGCCCAAAGTCTGCCCCAGCAGACCTGAGACAGGTGGGATCACGGGATGCTTCTTGGGGTTATACTTTTTTTTAGTGACTTTATAGGGATTCTATATAGGGATTATGTGGGGATTTTAAAGGGACTATATATACTGGGTATATTGGGGATATATTGGGATAATGGAAAATAGAATGGAAACTACTATTTAGGGCTTCGGTTTAGGCTTTGGCTTTTTTTTTTTTTTTTTTTTT